AAAAAAATCAAAATATTTTAATATAATCAATATTATTATTATAGAAATAAATTAAATATAAAATTTACTTTTTTTTGTAATATTTTTAAATATTCAAGTAATTTTTTCAGTAAAGGATTAGGTAAAGGTTGATTACAAAAAAGACATAATAATTCATCTAAAAGTATTAAAAAAGAATTATTAATATCATTATATTTAAAATTCATAAGTTTTATAAAATAAACATACTTTTTTTTTATTTTTAACATTTACATGGCACTCAAAAGTATTGCATTACCTAAATATAAATTTTAAAATAGCATTTTCTTGTGATTAAAATAGTGCAGTGTCATAAATTATTTATTAGACTTATCATAACCAAGTCTATTCAATATATGAAAATCATTTTATAGTAATAAAATAAATTTTTAAAAAATATTTATTTTTGAATAATTAGATGATCCTTTTCTTTTGATCATTTTTTTATTAGTATATATAAAAAAACTAAAAATCTAACCAACTTATTAAAAACTTTAGTAAATAATTATTTATCATTTTTGTATAGCTACCATTAGCTCTAATTACATCATTTATACGAGTTGACATAGTATCAACTAACTTTTTGCATACATCAGACCCTAACTCAACCCAAATTTTTGAATTGCATCCCATAACTGATCCTGTGTTCTAACAGATGTTCTAAGCCACCTCAGATGATGATCTATTTCATTACAAAGGTGTTCTATGGGATTTAAGTCAGAGGATTATGCTGGCCAATCAAGAACTTTAATCCCATTATCTTCAAACCATTGCTTTGTAAGATGTGCAGTGTATTTAGGATCATTATCCTGTTGAAAAATAATGGTTTTCTTATCTATTTCATGTCACGCAATAGTTTTTAATAGGTCTTTCTTTAAAATTTAGTGATATAAATCATCATTTATATATCCATAAATTCAACATATATTACCAACCTCATCAGATATAAAATATTCTCATATCATAATATTACTCTATCCAAATTTGACTGTTGGTTTAACATGATGATTGCATAACAGTTCTCATGGCTTTTTTAATAATACTCTCTACTATCTGATCCATAAATCATAAACTTTGACTTATCTGACTAAATCACTTTACTTCAATTATCTATGACTTGCATTTTTTTGCAAATTTTATCCTTGCAATTCTATGTATTTTTCAAAGATATAGTTTTTTTGTACTTAACCCTTGCATTTATTTCATTTCTATGTAAGGTTCTCTTTATTATACATTTATTAACTTCAATTTATTCTTCTAATTTTAATTTTTTTTAAATTGCAACAGTATTGCTACATTACCTGTTATAATTAATCTCAAAACTTTTCATTTATATTGACTAGTTAAGAGTCATGAACGCTCAGATTTAAATTTGTCTTTATTTTTACTAATTTTATTTTTATATTGCTTAGTTTTTATAACAGTTGATTGAGAAACATTTTTCTTGTTTACTATATAGCGGAAGGAAAACCTTTATCAAATAAGATACAAATCTTAGCTCTTTTTTTAACAGAAAGATAAACCATAGATATTTTATAAAATTATAAAGAGGCGAAAAATACCATAAGGCATCTTTTTTATATATATCACATAGTTATTTTGAAGCAAAAAAAAATTGTGTAATAAGTGTTAATATTTATTTCTTAAATCGATCAAAAGAAATATATCACCACTTTGACAAAAGATTCATAACAAAAAAAAATATTCTTAAAAAAAGATAAAAGAGATTAATAAAGATTAAGATATAACGAACTCTATATTTAAGTTTTATAACACTATGCCTTTTAAATTACAAGATATTTTCATTTTAAATTTTGTATTCGGATGATGCAATACTTTTGATAACTACTGTATATTATCTATTTCTATATTTATTAATTCAGTTATGAATATCTATGGTAAATTTTAAATACTTCATATGTTGGACTCAACATATGATCATCCTTGTAATATTTTCTTTTTCTTGTACCGATAAACCACTACTACTAGCAATTAAATTTTTTTGCTTTTTATTTGATAATTTTTTGTTGAATTTTTTAAAGAAACTAAATTTGGATGATGAAGGAATTTTTTAAGCATGTCATCCCTCTAAGCTCTCGTCTCTTCATGATCCCAAGACCATTTCGTTTGCTTTCATTAACATTTTTTCTAAACATTAGAATTATGATGTAATAATAAATATTATAAATATTCGCCAGAACTATTTTCATATATGGGGCCTTTGCAATAGAAAGGGAGGAAACTCCAAAAAAATTAAAATTTTAGTTTATAAGCCAAAAATGTTCCAAATACTATAATTTGTTCAGATTTATTATTAACTCATTTTTTATTTTTTTTTGAGTTTCCTCCCTTTCTATTGCAAAGACCCCATCCCATATGTTTAAAGTGTAAGATCTGCCGATAGCTATCAGCATGATCTTGTGTAACTGATGCAATAACGAAATTTTTTTGATTATCTGACCCTTTTTCCAGCTCTTCCTAAATCCTATATCTTTCTTATGTAATTTTCTAAAATTATAGCATCAGAGGAAATGCAAATACAAGTAGTTATCAAAGAGTTCTTTAAACGCAGTAATGATTGGTCGTTATTTAATTTCCTTAAGTATAGAGAAGGAGCTGGCAATTTTACATACAAAAAAGATAAAAAACATATGCTATATAAGAAGGTTTTGAAGTCGCTTTCCGAAAATGATAAAGTTTGAAAATGTATTTGAAATTTTGAGGTTAAGTATCATTCATATAGCTCATAACTGGTTGAGATGAGTGGATTCAAGGACTAAAATACATTTCGATTCTGAGACAATTATGTGACGTATTGACAAATCCTAAGTAGTCAGCTGAATACGTTTTGACAGGTAAGAGTGGAGTACGTCTTCCCTTAGACGTTCTTGAATAGGCTATGTGCTATTACTATAATGCAACTGGATGGGTACGTCCTAACTGGTTGTCAGGCTATATGCTGTGTTATGGTCCACACTCTCTATTTTTGGTTGATTATTAGTAATACGTTAGTTTCAAAAATAAGTTATCTAATTTATATTTCTATAAAGAATGAAAAAGTTTCTGAAAGTGTTCTCTATTTCTGGACAATGACTGAAAAAAAACGCTATGGAGATCGAATTAACATCGCAAAGGTAAGTGAAAAATTACAGTGGTTTTAGTATTAATTTTCAACATAGTGGTTCTAATTATTATATGACTCTTTTATAAGGCTAATGGTGTTTTGCGTATACTCGAAGCCACAACCGCTAGTCAACAGCACGTTTTTAGTAATCAGGAAATATATAGAATTTATCTATCAATAAGAAATATAAAATCTGTTCTAATACTTCTGATAAATTAAAAATTCTTGAATATGTCATAAATAATATATGTATTAAAAATGCAAAATATGATTTAAATTTCAAATCGGTGTACCAGTTATACTGTATATAAGCATATACTCTCTTTTTCTAAGCATGAAAGGAAAAAACATAATTAATTTTGATTTGAAAAATATTTTTTATAGTGTATATAACCTAAAGAATTATTTATAAACTACTCAATCTACTATAACATTCAATCATATTAGCTATCACAACTAAAATCATTGAAAAATACAATCTTAATTCTAAAATAAGTCTATTTGAACTTAGTCAATATACCTTAGAATTTCTTGAAAATCTTACAGATGATAGAAAAAGAAATCAAGCTCAATGACGTCTTTAGGATAGCTTAAATTTAGCAGTGAGTAGGTAAGTATATTAATACCTTATCAGAAAAGTGGAAAAAATAAAATTATAAATTTAGTTGAAGATAATTGTAGAATAGCTGTAATCAAGCTTTCAAAAAGTTTGAAAGAAGAGATTGTCAGAGAGATAACTAAACGAATCTTATAGAATAGATATAGATTTAATGAAAATCAAGTGAAAGTCTTATTCTCTACTCAGAAAAATGAAAATAAAACTATAAACATTGTTATTTCTAATCAGGTTTGGCTACTGTTATCATGTGATCTGTTGACAAAAGTTAGCCATCATCATTATGTGATCTGATAATAAAAGTTAGCCACTATTATTATATGAGTAGGAATAATCTAGACTAAATAAAAATATATAATTATATTATTTTCACTTTATTAAAAGACAAACTTAATTTAGTATTTGCATATGAAAGTAATTCTAACATTAATCTTTTAATATGCAAAAAAATTATTATTTAAAATCTGTTTTTAATTTTAAAAAAAAATTATTAAAAAAAGACCAAAATATAGAAAATTATGATTAATATGTAAAGCTATTTTAGTTGCACTAGAATCTAATGATAATGAAATAAAAATTTTATTAAAGAAGTATATTAAGAAAATAAAAAATAAAAAGTATTAACTTTGATAAATAATAATGAAATTCAAGAAAAAGATCAGCTAAATAATAATAAATAATTAATAAAGAATATGAATATAGAGATCTTAAAAGTATTCAAAATCTATCAAGAATAAAAACAAAAGATCAGCCTCTAACAAAACATTTCAAAAGTAGCATTAAATTTAAAAAAGAAGATCATAATGTAAAAAGTGAATTTTCAAGCTGAAATACTTATAAATATTATATATATAATTAAGCTAATCATAATGTAGCATATCATAAAAATAATAAACTTAAAAATACGTAGTCAATTAATTAATTATTTTGTATAATTTAATTTATATATAAATTTTTAATGGTTTAATAAAATGATATATTATTATATTATTGAAATATATTTTATATTTAAGATAATATTTATTAGTTTTATATCTTAAAGTGAAATTTAGAGAAATCATAAGGAGGGAAAAAAAGGATAGAATTTAAATTTTTTCTTACTTTAATTTTAAAAATAATATAACTCTATAAAATAATTAAAATAAATTATTTTTATTAAACTTAATATAATTAATAAAGTAAATTTTATTTTAAATCTGATAGTTTTATATTTAATAAATTATAATAAATTATTAAAATATAAGAAATAATATTTGATATACTAATTAAAATATATTATATTAAATATCATATTTTTCACATAATATAAAATTTATTTAAAAATATAATATTATTGAAAATCCATTCTAGTCTAAATTAATTTATTTTATAAAAATATTATATTTCTTACCTTTAAAAAGTATTGAAAAATGAAGAACATAAAATATTTGAAATACTCAAAATATACTATTATAAATCTAATTTGCATATAATTTTTATATAATATCCTAAAATTAAAATTAAATGCAATTAACTTAAAAAAACATTTTTAATATCTGAATTTTTGAAAGATAGATACTTTTTATTTTTATCAATGATTAATCTATTAAAGCAAAAAAGCCAGTATATAATAAATATAAAAGGCTAATTCTATTACTTTACATTATATTGATTTAAATTTATATTTTGTAATTAAATCAGATCTGTGTTAAACATTAATATTATATATAAATATAAAATAAAGATGAAATAATTAGTACTTATGTAATATTTCATTTAATAGTTATATATTCTGTGAAATTATAATTTTAATTTCTATAAAATCTAATATTATAAAATTTATTTCTTTACTTCTTGGTAAAATATAAGTGAACTAGGCTAATTGAGCAGATACTCTTGATGATTCAGAACTTTATTTTTGTATATACAGTTACACCTCGATATAATGAAGTTACCGATCCAGCCAATCAGGACTTTATTATAAGAATCTTTGTTAACGCTATAATGAATTATGTAGTATATATAATGAATAATTCGTTATAGTGTTAACGAATTATTCGTTATAGTAGATGATTACTGATTTCATTACACAAATATA